ACAGGGGGGCCTTGGGGCGTGCCGGGTATGAGTGGGACACTCTGGAGCAGGACCTGGAGCAGCTCTTCCAGGAGCTGCAGCCGCTCTACCTGAACCTGCACGCCTACGTGCGCCGGGCCCTGCACCGCCACTACGGGCCCGAGCACATCAACCTGAGGGGGCCCATCCCTGCTCATCTGCTGGGTACACGCTCAGCGGGGGCAGAGGTGGGTGCTCAACCGGCAGAGGTGGTCTCTCGCCTCCTCTTAGCCCCTCTCCTCCCCTTCTAGGGAACATGTGGGCTCAGTCCTGGATCAATATCTTAGACCTGGCCCTGCCCTTCCCGGAGAAGCCCCCAGAGGACATCACAAAAATCATGAAAGCCCAGGTCCGTGCTTGGTCGCTATCTCCCCGCTCCCCTGGGTAAGCTGGGCGGTGCCCCATGCACACCCCCCTTCCCCACAGCACTGGAATGCAGAGAAAATGTTTGAAGAAGCTGAAAAATTCTTCACCTCCTTGGGGCTGCTGCCTGTCCCACCCAATTTCTGGGAAAAGTCGATGTTTGAGCGGCCTACGGACGGGCGGGAGGTGGAGTGCCACGCCTCGGCCTGGGACTTCTACAATGGCAAGGACTTCAGGTGCTCACAGCCAGCATGGCCCTGTGGCCCTCTCTCCGGCTTCCCCTGTGTCTGCCTGTCTTAGGAGTTGTGGGCCAGGAGTGGGCAGGGAAGAGCTGGGCAGAAACTGGGGGGTGAGAGCTGAAGACATAGAAGAAGAGGCGAGCGTGAGAGCCAGGGGCTGGGTCACTGGGTAAGGGGCTCGAAATGAGAAGAGACAGCGGCTAAGGCCCTTCTTATCGCAGCCTGACTACCCTAGCCCCTTAACGGAGTCTGATTGGAGAAGACTCCTGTTCTCTTCAGGGTGTCCCCATTCTCCTTGACCCCTGCCCTTTAACCTTAGGATAAAGAAGTGCACCGAGGTGACCATAGAGGACCTGCTCTCCATCTTCCACCAGATGGGCCATATCCAGTACTTCTTACAGTACAAGAACCTCTCTGTGACCTTCCGCACAGGCGCCAACCCAGCCTTCGAAGAGGCCGTGGGGTCTGTAATCACCCTCTCGGCCTCCTCCCACAAGCACCTGGTTTTCAGAGGCCTGCTCAGCCACCAGCACCAGGACTCAGGTGATGGGGACCAAGAGGACAGGAGAGGGCCAGCAAAGGAAGCTGTGGTTAGGGCTGGGTGGGGCCCAAGCTCTTGGGGTGAGGTTTTTTTACCCAGGAGCTGCCTCCTGACTGCCTTCCCCCACCCCCAGAGGAGGAGGTCAACTTCCTGATGGGCATCGCCCTGGACAAGATCGTCTTCATCCCCTTTGGCTACCTCATGGACCTCTTTCGCTGGAAGGTCTTTGATGGCACCATCCACAAGGACATTTACAACCAGGAGTGGTGGAACCTCAAGTGAGTGGGCGGCTGCCCAGGCTCCAGGTCTGGCTTCCAGGCCTGGCCCCAGCCTGGTGTGGACAGGGCTTTCCTGCCTGCTGCATGGCAGAGCTCTGGCCTCTCCTCTGAGAGCAGAGTGGGACGGGGAAGCTGGTGACTTGGGGGCCCAAGGAAGCCCAGGGCAGTGGAGGCTGTGTGCTGTCACCAGACCAAAGTGCCCATTCAGTAGTGGGTGGAGCCAGCTTGTGCAATGTTGAGGCCTCGTTTCCAACTGGCAGCAATACTGAGCAAGCCTGGCTTCAGTTTTTCACTTGTGAAAAAGGGAACCCGGGGACCAGCAGGAGACGTAATGGTTATGTCGTTGGACTCCTACATAGTCGAGGCCCAGACCTGGTGGCTTAAAACTCATGCCAGGTGTGTGTGTGCCCAAGATCCCCAGAGGAGAATAGAGAAGGAGATTGGCATGGCCATCTGCCCTGAGGGGTCATTTCACACTTTTTGTCTCTCTGTCTCTCTGGAGGGCACACACGACCTATAGCAAAAATCTCTCTTAAAAAAAGAAAAGAAGAAAGAAAAAGGGACCCTAGTGGTAGCCTCACTTGCACTCTGGGTGGCTGGGAAGCTCCCACGATTGTTGCAATTGGGCTTCTCCGAGAACAGAATGCCGACCCCAGGCAGGCCTCCCGTACCTCCCTCCCTTTCCCTTCTCAACAGCAGGGCAGGGAGAAGGGATGTGTAGGAGCCTGAGCACTTTCCTCCCGGGGAGGGGTTCTGTGGGAGAAGGGCAGCCCCATGCCCCCAGCACATGCCCCAGGCTGCCCAAAGAGGCCACCCTGGCAGACAGCATCACTTATAAGTCACCGCATCCTCAACCCCCAGCATTGGAATGGATTATGGACACCTGTGACCAGGCCTTCTCCGCATCCCCCCGGCATCAGGCTGACGGCTCATGTCGGCGGGTCAGAGTGTGGTTTGGGACTAGCAGGTTTCGAACCTTTACAACCACCTTGTGCTCACTCGGGATGCTCGTCTCCCAAAGGAGCCCAAGCTCAGAGAGGTTCAGAAGCCCCGGGTCACACAGCAGCCAGCGGGTGACAGAACTGGACACTCCCCCCTTGTCCTCTCACCCCTCCCACCTCTGACTTCCGGAGTGAGGCTCACTAGTGAGGTCAGCAGAGCCCTGACCTTGTGCCACTCCGAGGGCACCCTCCACCAGCCACCTGAGGTGCCTGGGTGCAGGGACCCTTTCTTCCCTTGCCTTTCACGTCCACCATCACCCAGCTGATGGGACCCAGGGGCTGAGTGAGGGGTTGGCAACTCCTTGGACCTTCCACAAGGAACCTCTGGAGGTGCAACCTCCCGACACTGTCATCCCTGAGGAGAGTTCAGAGAATCTAATGAGCCAACAATAAGATGACAACCATTTTCATAGATTTTGTCTCATCTCCACCATCGGTAATTTTATCCCCACTTTATAGACGCGTTGCAACAAGGCTCAGCGACAGTCGGTAATGTTCCCACGGTCACACAGCTCAGAAAGACAAAACCGGACCTTCAAGTTACCGTGGTCTGCCAGGGGCCTGTTCTGGGTGCTGGGGCCAGTTTCCTGTTCTCTAGACCTTGGTTTCCTCATCTGTAAAACGGGAATAATAGCAGGACTACCCACAGGGACGTCTCTCTGGTGTCTCCTAAGCCCTCCTTCCTGAAAGACATGGCCTTGTTTATTGGTTGGTAATCTGCCCCCCATCATTAAGATGCAAGCAGGGACCCTTCTCGCTCTCTCCCCAGAGACCAGGACAGTGTAAGGTAGTGCCCGAGTGTGTGTGAAGCGCTCAGTGTGACTCCCAGCTAGAGGAAGTGTCCAGCCAGTGTTAACCGCTGTAGCGATTTATTCTGATTCCCGTTCCGGGGGATTTTTATTTACTTAGTTACTGCAGTCTGCCAGGTCCAGTTTTGATAGGAAAGTGCTTCAAAAAGGAAAACCCAAGAACCTGCCAGGCACCAGCATCAAGCTCTTCTTTTTCCCCTGCCAGGTTGAAGTACCAGGGCCTGTGCCCCCCCGTTCCTCGGTCAGAGGAGGACTTCGATCCAGCTGCTAAGTTCCACATTTCTGCCAGCGAGCCCTACATGCGGTACAGGGCCAGGCCCCGTGGCAGAGCTGGTTCTGGGGGTCGGGAGCTGGGTGGTGTGAAAATTGACCAGGATTTCCAGGAAAGCTCTAGGTCCAAATGGCACACTGCATCCCTGCCCACCTTCGTAGTTCTATCGGGTTGCACTGCCTCTCAGGAGTCATGACCTGAAATCCTTTGAGTTTTGCGTCAATCCTGTGTGGAGGACAGAGCTGCAAGAATCTTCTAACCATCCCTTTGTTCCTAGAGGAGAGCAGGGACAATGGAGGCAAAGGTTGGGTTGACTGTTGGTCCAGGAGAAGCCTGCTTGATTTTAGGGCCAGTCCAAGAGGGGCCTTGCCCAAGGAGTCCATGCCCAGCCTGCAGTGGACATGGGTCCTGGTGACTGACACGTGTCTGAGCCACTTCCTCCCAGGTGGCTCTGGGCTTCCATCTCCTGAACTCCACTCCCCAGCCCACCCTCATGTTCCTCTCCCCAGGTACTTCCTCAGTCTCGTGCTCCAGTTCCAGATCCATGAGGCACTGTGCACAGCCTCGGGCCATGTGGGTCCCCTGCACCGGTGTGACATCTATAACTCCAAGGCAGCCGGGGAGCTCCTGGCGTGAGTGTCCTCCTCCTTCACTGGTCCCCAGCTTCCCCTGCTCCCGTGCCGGGACCCCTGCTCCAGGTTCTCCTCAATGGGCCACTCTGGGCACCTCGAGCAGAGTGTCATTGAGCTCATATTCTGGTGGAAGTTCTTCCTCGTGTCAGGCTGCAGTGTCTCCTATGTTAATTGAAGCCCATTTCATTCCGTGCAGCCCCCTGTGGTCAGAGACACTGTAGCCCCTCTTGCAAGCACATACCCACACAAATACACACTCACATATGCCAGTGAATCTAGCGGTCTCGGCAGGAAGCCATTGCTAAGGAATGCAGGAAGCCTACCTCAGCCCTCAGTCTTCCATCTCGAATCCCTTATTCTTTTTTTGCAAGGTGCTTGCCCACCTTCTCAGCAGCATTTGATGCACCCTTGGGTGAACTCTGCTTTTCCACCTCTTCTTGGAGGTGCCCAGATCTGGTTACCAGGCTAACCCAGGTTGTCTTCGCATCAGCTTCGACCAGCCTGTGGTCCTCTTAGACCACCCAGTCTTTTTTCCTGTACTTGGCATGTGAACCATCCTCTCCAGGCCTGCCTCTATAGCATTGTTTTTTTGGCCCTGAAACAAAACTGGAGGGGGCGGGGACCTGAATCGAAAGTCTGAAGCATTTACTATGACAGACCAGGCCCTCTGCTGAGTATTCTCACAGCGTTTCATGTTGGTAATCTATAACTTTGCCAGGTGGATATTATTACTAGCCTCTTATAAATGATGAAATGGAAAGTGGGAACGATGATGTGATGGTGTCTTTCATCTAGCGAGAACCAGTCATGCTTGGAAGCCAGAACTGATCCCAAAGCACATTCTCTTTCACACCGTTGCCTCCATCAGTTCAAGGATACAGGCCCTGGAGAGATTAGAGCCAGATCTACCGGCTCCAAGATCAGCGTGCAGCCCCTGAGAGGCAGAGCCCACCCACTGATGTGGTCTTTTTTTCCCGGTCGATTTTCAACCAATTTCAGTGGGTTCATTTCCCTGATCCATCAAGGTCATCTTAAATTTTAATCCTGTCTCCCAAAGGATTGACCAGGCCACATAGTTTAGTATCCTTTGCATATTTAATGATCGTATGTGCTATTCCAGCATGAAGTTTATCTGCAGGTCAGGTGGGATTGCAGGACTGACTCCGCGGGCCCTGCTCCAGGAAGAACTGCACCTCACTGACTCTTGTCTGCACAGTCTACTTGCTCATCCATCCTTCCACACCACAGGGGTTTATTCTAGTCCACCACCTAGGTTTGAGCTTTTCTGAATGTAGCAAACACAGGGCACCTCTGTGTTCTCTGCAGTCATGACCTGATCACCCATCATTAACTCATTCAGCAAACATTTTCTTAAAGGCCTTGTAGACCAGCCACCCTGTGTCCAGCAGGGGGCAATGGACTGTGAAATAAATAAAATTCCATAATACGAGGTGCAGGAGCAGTAGGAAACAGCTAGCAAAAGGGGTTAGGACGTCTTGCAGGGGACCAAGGAGGGCTCTCTGTCCCTGCTGGCGAGCAAGAAATAGCAGACATGGTTTTGTTTGTTTGTTTGTTTTTTGTTTTTTGGGTTTTTTTTTTTTTCATAGAAATTTTTCACTTCACCTGATGGTGGGCATCTGACCCCAGCTATTCTGACCCTCCCCAACACACACACTCTACCTGGTACACAGGACTCTCAGGTCAGAGTTGGCACCAAAGTATGAGGCCAGTCGTCTGTCATCGCTCTCCAAGCCCCGTGCATCTTACTGTCTAGATCCTGGTCAGAGAAGACCCTGAATTATAGGCCTAGGACCTCGAACATCATTTTGGGGGAGTGGGCATAGGAGACATTTCTGAGAAAGGGGGATGCTGTGAGCTTTGGGGAAGATTATTTGGCAGGAGAGTGTGACTGGGCTGGAAGAGAAGGTGGAGTCAGGTGGAGAGGGAGTCTGTGAGCTGCTCTTTTGCCTAAGGTATTGAAAACGATGTTGTTGAGACCAGCAGATGGTGTGATGGTTACATCACTGGATCCCCACGCAGTCAACTACAGTTCAAGTTTCAGACCTGGTGGCTTAAACTCAGGCCGGGCTGGGCATGTGTGCATGTGCGCTCAAAATCCCAAGAGGAAAATGAAGGAGAAGAGATTGCTGCGTGGTTATCTTCCCCAGAAGGGGGATGATTTCTCGCTTTCTATCTCTCTGTCTCCCTGGAGAGTGCATGTGCCTTATAGCAAAAATCTCTCTAAGAAGAGAAAATGATGTTGCTACTTTGACTCAGCCTCCTACACGCCCTTGTTCTGGACCAGCCTCTGGGCTGGCTCTTCTGGAAAGGGAGGGTTGAACTGAACCTGGTCTAAGTTTTCAGAGTCTCGTGCCACACCCAGCCAGATGTGGTGAGCCTGACCTTGCCTCTGGGTGTGTTCTGTTCACTTTGGAGTTGAGGGTTCCGAGCAATACCTGATCGCCCTATTTGCAGCTCTCTGGTCTTCTGTGCTGCCCATAGAGTTGCTGGCTGGACTTTGGCCAAATATTTTATCCCAGGCCAGCCCATGGTGGTTGAGGCCCCTGGATCCCATATGGTTGACTGTGTAGTTTGAATCCAGCTTGAAAAACATGCCAGGCACATGTGCTTGCATGTCCCAAATCCTGAAAGGATGGAGAGAGGAGAAGGGATTGCAGCATGACCAAGCTCCATAAGGGGTTCTTTCTCCTTCTCCCTCTCTTTCTATCTCTTCCAGTGAACACATGCACTCTCTGGCAAACTAAAAACCAACCAACAAAAAAACACCTATCCCATTCAGCCTGAAGGAGTGTTTCTAAACAAACTGTCATTGGTGGAAGCTTTGCCCCATAAGATTCTTCTGACCCAGGAGCTAGCGTCTGATAACGTCCTCTTACCTAGAGTTAGTTAGTTATGGGTTTTTTGTTTTTTTGTTTTTGTTTTTTGTTTTGTTTTTGTTTGGGGTTTTTTTGTTTGTTTGTTTGTTTGTTTGCTATAGGGCGCGTGCGCTCACCAGATAGAGACAGAGAGATAGAAAGCGAGAAATCACCCCCCAGGGGGATGGCCACACCGCAATCCCTTCTCCTCCGTTCTCTCGGGATCTTGGGCACGCACGCACACACGCCCAGCGTGAGTTTTAAGCCACCGGGTCCGGGACGTGAACCGCGGTTGACTATGTGGGAGTCCAGCGACACAGCCATTACGCTAACTGCTGGTCCCAGTTTTCTTTCTTTTTGATCTTTACAACTTTTCTCTATTTCTCTAGGATCTCAACTACATTATTCCCCAGTGATTTCTGCCAAGAGTCCACTGACCTTTCATGTCACCTCTCATTCCTTCTCAGTTGTTTATTAAGCAATGCGTGTATGTCTTTGTAAGCTACAAAGTCCTTCTTCATTCCTCCCCAGCTCCTTTTAGAAATATTTTTGGTATAGGGTGCATGTTCTCTCCGGAGAGACAGAGAGACAGAAAGCGAAAAATCACCCCCCCAGGCGCAATGACCATGCTGCAATCCCTTCTCCTCCAGTCTTCTCTCAGGATTTTGGGCATACACACACACGTACACTGGCATGTTTTAAGCTGAAGGTCTGGGACTCAAACTGTGGTTAACTATGTGGGAGTCCAGAGACGTAACCGTTACGCCATCTGCTGGTCCCAGTCTTCCTTCATCTCTATGTGATTTAATCCCCACCACAATGGAGATGGTGTGGATTGGATGTTGAGCTGACAGAGGTTAGTTGTTTTCCTGAAGTCATGTGATCTGTAAGTAACCGCTGGGTCTGGAATCTGGGTCCTGTTAGCCTAGACCTCACAGAGTGCCCTCCTGGCCGGATCAGGGAACTCCAGGCTGAGAATTTTTTTCATAGAAATTTTTCACTTCACCTGATGGTGGGCATCTGACCCCAGCTATTCTGACCCTCCCCAACACACACACTCTACCTGGTACACAGGACTCTCAGGTCAGAGTTGGCACCAAAGTATGAGGCCAGTCGTCTGTCATCGCTCTCCAAGCCCCGTGCATCTTACTGTCTAGATCCTGGTCAGAGAAGACCCTGAATTATAGGCCTAGGACCTCGAACATCATTTTGGGGGAGTGGGCATAGGAGACATTTCTGAGAAAGGGGGATGCTGTGAGCTTTGGGGAAGATTATTTGGCAGGAGAGTGTGACTGGGCTGGAAGAGAAGGTGGAGTCAGGTGGAGAGGGAGTCTGTGAGCTGCTCTTTTGCCTAAGGTATTGAAAACGATGTTGTTGAGACCAGCAGATGGTGTGATGGTTACATCACTGGATCCCCACGCAGTCAACTACAGTTCAAGTTTCAGACCTGGTGGCTTAAACTCAGGCCGGGCTGGGCATGTGTGCATGTGCGCTCAAAATCCCAAGAGGAAAATGAAGGAGAAGAGATTGCTGCGTGGTTATCTTCCCCAGAAGGGGGATGATTTCTCGCTTTCTATCTCTCTGTCTCCCTGGAGAGTGCATGTGCCTTATAGCAAAAATCTCTCTAAGAAGAGAAAATGATGTTGCTACTTTGACTCAGCCTCCTACACGCCCTTGTTCTGGACCAGCCTCTGGGCTGGCTCTTCTGGAAAGGGAGGGTTGAACTGAACCTGGTCTAAGTTTTCAGAGTCTCGTGCCACACCCAGCCAGATGTGGTGAGCCTGACCTTGCCTCTGGGTGTGTTCTGTTCACTTTGGAGTTGAGGGTTCCGAGCAATACCTGATCGCCCTATTTGCAGCTCTCTGGTCTTCTGTGCTGCCCATAGAGTTGCTGGCTGGACTTTGGCCAAATATTTTATCCCAGGCCAGCCCATGGTGGTTGAGGCCCCTGGATCCCATATGGTTGACTGTGTAGTTTGAATCCAGCTTGAAAAACATGCCAGGCACATGTGCTTGCATGTCCCAAATCCTGAAAGGATGGAGAGAGGAGAAGGGATTGCAGCATGACCAAGCTCCATAAGGGGTTCTTTCTCCTTCTCCCTCTCTTTCTATCTCTTCCAGTGAACACATGCACTCTCTGGCAAACTAAAAACCAACCAACAAAAAAACACCTATCCCATTCAGCCTGAAGGAGTGTTTCTAAACAAACTGTCATTGGTGGAAGCTTTGCCCCATAAGATTCTTCTGACCCAGGAGCTAGCGTCTGATAACGTCCTCTTACCTAGAGTTAGTTAGTTATGGGTTTTTTGTTTTTTTGTTTTTGTTTTTTGTTTTGTTTTTGTTTGGGGTTTTTTTGTTTGTTTGTTTGTTTGTTTGCTATAGGGCGCGTGCGCTCACCAGATAGAGACAGAGAGATAGAAAGCGAGAAATCACCCCCCAGGGGGATGGCCACACCGCAATCCCTTCTCCTCCGTTCTCTCGGGATCTTGGGCACGCACGCACACACGCCCAGCGTGAGTTTTAAGCCACCGGGTCCGGGACGTGAACCGCGGTTGACTATGTGGGAGTCCAGCGACACAGCCATTACGCTAACTGCTGGTCCCAGTTTTCTTTCTTTTTGATCTTTACAACTTTTCTCTATTTCTCTAGGATCTCAACTACATTATTCCCCAGTGATTTCTGCCAAGAGTCCACTGACCTTTCATGTCACCTCTCATTCCTTCTCAGTTGTTTATTAAGCAATGCGTGTATGTCTTTGTAAGCTACAAAGTCCTTCTTCATTCCTCCCCAGCTCCTTTTAGAAATATTTTTGGTATAGGGTGCATGTTCTCTCCGGAGAGACAGAGAGACAGAAAGCGAAAAATCACCCCCCCAGGCGCAATGACCATGCTGCAATCCCTTCTCCTCCAGTCTTCTCTCAGGATTTTGGGCATACACACACACGTACACTGGCATGTTTTAAGCTGAAGGTCTGGGACTCAAACTGTGGTTAACTATGTGGGAGTCCAGAGACGTAACCGTTACGCCATCTGCTGGTCCCAGTCTTCCTTCATCTCTATGTGATTTAATCCCCACCACAATGGAGATGGTGTGGATTGGATGTTGAGCTGACAGAGGTTAGTTGTTTTCCTGAAGTCATGTGATCTGTAAGTAACCGTTGGGTCTGGAATCTGGGTCCTGTTAGCCTAGACCTCACAGAGTGCCCTCCTGGCCGGATCAGGGAACTCCAGGCTGAGAAGGATCAACATCTGCCCACTGCTGCTTCCACTGGGGTTCCTGAGGTGGCAGAGCCTGGGGCTCTGGCTTCAGCATACTCCGTACTCCCACCCGGAGTGCCAGATGCCGAGCCTAAGGCTTGGCCACCTGCCACCCAGTGCAGGATATGCCCGGAGACAGAGCTGGCATTTATGCAGTGCTGCAGGTGCTACATGGAGCTCCTACCACACTTGAGATCTCTCTAATCCTCCCAAGCCCTCCTTGCGAGACCAGGAAGGGCTGAAGAACTGCCTCCACCTACTGCCCCCAATCACCTCATGGGAAAACAAAAGCCAGAGACTGCCTGCCTATTTGAGTCCAGGGGGATAATAAAAATTACAGGAGTACTAGTTTTAATGCTCAGCAGTAGTTAACATTCACCACTTGCTTAGATGCTTCCAGCATGTGTTGGTTTAATCATCCCAACAACCTATGAGGTAGGTACTATTATTGTTTCCATTTTATGGATGTGGAAATTGAGGCTCAGAAAGGTTAAATTACTCAAGATCCCATAGCTACTAAGTGACAGAGATTCAAATCCAGGTTCACCTTACTTCAAAGCTTCTGATCGTCCCCACTATGCTGAGGTCTGTGGGAAGATTCTGGCAAGCAAAGCCCTAGGGACAGGTTTGGGTATATGGAGGGGCCCTAGCAGGACCAGGTGGTGCCCCCATGTAGCCTCACAGCCATACGCATTCCCCCAGGGATGCCCTAAAGCTGGGCTCGAGCAAGCCTTGGCCAGAGGTCCTAGAGAAGCTGACCGGGCAGTCCGAGGTATCTACAAAGGCCCTAATGACCTACTTCAAACCCCTGCTGAACTGGCTGGTGGCAGAGAACGTGCGACAGGGAGACATCCTCGGCTGGCCAGACTTCAGCTGCTCCTTTGAAGGTTTGATCATTTGACTATGGCCCCAGCTATGGGCCAGCCCCAGGACACACCCCAGCCTGTCCCTTCCCCAGTTTAGCCTCTAGCCTGTCTATACCAGGCCTGGTGCCACCTTAGCCAAGACCACAGCCCTTGTCCCAGTCCCTAGTCTAGTTGCTTCTTTGCACACTGTCCAGCTAGACTGCCAGGCTGGCAGCTGAGCAGAGCATTCACCTCTTGCCTCCAGACCCTTGCATGGAGCCACTGCTGGGCTCCATGGGGTATGTAGCCCCTCCATGCCCATCTCCTCTCTTTCTTCTACTTCTCTGTCTCACCCTCCTGCTAGGACAATGCTCTCACCTGAGGCTTGGAAGGTAGGTGTCTGAGGCTTAGGGAGAAGTCCAGTGGCAGTCAGAACCTTTTCGACAGCCCCAGGGGACCCAAAGGCCTCTTCTCCACTTCTATCTACTCTATAATTTCCGTGTCTTCCACAGAAAAAGAAACCGACAAAATGCGCTTTCTGGGTTTGGAGCTCGAACCTGACCAGGCCTCATCTGGGCAGTGGGTACTGCTGGTCCTGAACCTCTTCCTGCTCCTGGTGACCCTGGGGTTAGGCTTCAGGCTGTACTTCCTAGAAAAGCAGTCACTGGCTGAGGACTCAGACGCATCCATCACAATGCCCAAAGCCTACTTCCTGGGCCTACGCATGGAGCCCCACCTGGTTGCCAGAAGGCAGTGGATGATGCTGGGCCTCAGCTTCATCCTGATGCTGTGCTCAATCGGCCTGGCCATTCGGGTTTTCACACAGCACAATGGGAAGCCTCCGTGGATGAAAACTGAGTGGTGGAGCTCGGACTAGAAGCCAGTGAGACTGGTAAGGCTAGGGGGCAGGAGGAGGGTGGCTGAGCCCAAAAGGGCCAAGGATGAGGAGAAGTCAGCCTGCATGTGTAGTGTCCCACTGTCATTGGGTGCAGCTATGGCAAATCTGGGTCCATGGGGCCTTGTAATTGTGTGTTTGCAAACTCATGTATGTAGGCCATATGTAAAGGTGATTAACTCTGTGTGATTCCTTGGTTCTAGGCCACCCCTCTTCTGCCAGGGCTCAAGAACCATGGTTTTGTTGACCCAGAGGCTATGTCCCTCCAAATTAGTTTCCACACAAGTCATGCCCTGAATTGTCTCTTCACACAGACTTGTTTTCTTCACGAGCTCCAGCAGGGGGCTGAGCCAAGGGCCTCCACCTGGTTGGAGAGAGGACCCTGCTACATTCCCCTCTTCACGAGTACTCGAGTAGAACCAGACATTCCTTTATGAATGTTGGTGTTCATTTTGCCAGCACCGAGCTCTGAACACTGGCTGCCACATCTCTCCACGGATTCCTTGGCCCGCCTTGTGCTAGGCCGTATAATCCAGCCCTCAAAAGCTTTTTGTTGGCTGGCTGAGGTGTAGGGAGCCTCAAAAACTGCCCCGCAGCTCTCCCTGCCCCAGCCCAGGCCCTCCCAAATGGAGACAGTGGGTAGCTGGGCACCGAGCCAGGCTTGATTAATGATTGACTTCTTTAATATTTAAACAAAGCTCATCTCCAGCCACTCTGCTCTGGAGATAGCCTTGTTCAGCACACACACACCTGCTGCCTGGCCTGTTGCCTTGGGGAGCGAGCATAGGGCAAACGACACCTTTCCAGACTCACCCTGGGGCAGGGGGTTGAGGATAGAGAGCTTAGGGTGGTATTTAGGAAATGAATGCTCTAGGTATAAACCTGGGGAAAGAGAGGGAAGGCCTCTGCCCTGGTTCTCCTAGCACTTTCTCTCCAGCCGGGTCTGCCTCCCCCAGAGGTACCACACCCAGTAATTGGGAACACACTCAATATTTGGACTGAGGCCCTAGAGGCTCCTGGAAACCATGCGAGCCAATGCCTGTTGGAGAATAGGGGAGACTTGAGGGGATATGGCATTGCAGCCAGTAACGACAGAGACAAGGCTTTGGTGTTGTAATGGAGCTGGTGGGAGAGTGGCCAAAAGACAGGACCAGCTCTCTCTGGACTGAGGATCTGATCCCAGAAGTCAGGAACTCGGGCGACAGAGGTAACAGGCTGAGATCTTCGTGGCCCTTACCTCTGCCCGGGTTCCAAGTCTGTCTGAGTTATGGCTGAGCCCAAGCACTTTCTGCTCCAGCCCCAAGTTCACAGCACCTTTCTCTGATGCCTCTGTCACCACTCTTGTGTGCTAGAATGTTCTATTTGTCCCTGTACTAGCCGTTAGCTTGTAAAGGGCTGGACACACATCAGAAGTGTGCCCTTGTGTGACACAAGTAGTCAACACAGGCCATGGTACACCGTGGGGACTTGGAAAATGTGTAGGTAAGTAAACGGATGAGTGTCGCATATCCCAAGTGTCTCTTCAGAGCTCAGCACTCCAGGCACTGAGCGCATGAGAGACAGTCCCACCTTTCCTCCACAGCCAGCCTGCCCCCACCAGAGGGGCAGCCAGGACACCTCTGCCCACATGAGGTCACACATACAGCCTTCCCACCTCCCAGCCACACTGGCCAATGAGGCCCCACCAGGCATTGTGGCTCAGCGTGACAAAGGCACACCCTGCCCAAGATGTCAAGCCTCCCACCTGGACTCCCACCAAAACCTCACTGAGCCTTTTCTCCTCTCCTCCCTGTTGTCACCCCTCATCGTAAAGTTTATTTCACCAGAATATTTTCTATCTAACTGTTTAAAAGCTTGGTTGTCCATAAATTAAATCTAGATGTTCAAAATGTCACCTGGAGGTCTTTATCAATTGCTCTTTTTCTCCAACCTTACCTGTCCTACCCCCCAACTCAGCCCCTCTATACTGAGATCACCCTTGACCTTTGCCTAAGGTGCATGCCCCATTTGAATACTTGCCCTCCAAGGCCTGGCTCAAACTTGATCATTAAGTCCTCTGCCAAGCTCTGAGCCCATGGAGATGCTCAGTGAACAGTAGTTCCCTTCGCCCCCTTCTCTCCAAGAAGCTTCTTTCAATAAACCTCACCCCACCCCCATCTGCCTCTTAGTGTGCTCATTTTCAATCAGACACTCTTCTCAGCGGTCACTTGCTAATAGGTGGTTTTAAATTTGTTCTCCTTTCAAACTGGGCTTGTGTGCTAAGAGCTCTTAAGCCTCTGAAGAAGGTACCTTATTGCGTATTTCTTGTACAGTTAACGTGTACTCCTACCCCATCCTCCCAGGCCCAGGCTCTGCAGGTGCGCTGGGGCTTGTCAAGGGTGAGCAAGCGGCCTAACAGTACCATTGTCAGGGTCAGGCTGGGGGTAAGAGGTTTCAGACAGGGGTGGGGGTGTGTCAGACCTCAGAGCCTTCAGCCAAAGACCACCTGAGGGCCCAACCAAGCCCTCTGCCAGCCTCTCTCCCCT